CATCTCTCTCCTGCTTACACTAATGCCCCATCTCTCATCTGGGCCCTTCTCATCCTCTTCTGTTGGAAGAGTAGGATTCAAGTAGGATTTAGTCGCTTGACGTACAAATTAGTCTGTGAAGCACAGAACTGTGCATACCACAACTTACGCTAGGTAATCATAATAATTTCTTCTCCTATCAAGGCATTCTTGGACATTTTTATTAAAATCCACACAAGCATCCCCTTTGCCTTTCTTCACAGTTTTCCCACAGTCATTCCGTTCACAATCCTCTACCCCAAACCAGCAGTACAAAACTTACTAGGAAGACTGACTTCACCTTTCAGATCATTTTGCTTATTTGCCATATTTCTAGTTGCTTCTCATTTAATTTTCAGTATTCATCACTCATTCTACAGCCCCATTGATGGACCTCATCTACATTCCAGCAGATCAGAGCAGGAACTGCCCTCCAAGGGCAACATAACTCTATTCCAGAGCAACTGCAGTTCCCAGCATAAAACCTAAGAGTCTCTACGGTCTTTCAGGACAATCTGAGAGTATATGGGATGGAATATCCCTAGCTAGCACGGCACATGCAAACAAGTCACTGCTAGGCAGGGGAAGGAACTGCAGGAAAAACTGAACGTTGAAAGAGTCAGGCTTGGGGTGATGGGAAGCAAGGAGCTATGTACAGCTTTGTATAAAGATTTTATATATACACAAACATATATACATATAAATATATATATACAAACATACATATATAGCACATAGAGTCCTCTTCAGACCTAGAGTGATCTCTGGGTTTCTTGGTTAGAATACTCCCCTTCCTTTTCAAGCAGCCATGAAACCCAGAGTGAATCTGTCTCTCCTGCTTATTTCTCTTACGGAATAGCAGCCAATGTTACTACTGCTGTCTACTTGGCCAGTTCAAGGGATGAACAGATGCCCCGTGAATGTCAAGCACTGAGGACTGCCCATGTTGAGATCAGTGGGTTCTCACACAGTAGGATTGCTTTTTTCATGAGAGTGCTTTAAAAAACGAGGCTACCACCTCTCTTCCCCAGCTACCTACCTGGGAAAAGGAAACAAAAATTACGGAGATACTTAGAAGAATGTTACCACTGCAAAATTAGAAGCACCACATTAGCATATTTTAGGACTGAGTTTGCCTGTGCAACCTTAATTCAGTCCCTTGTGCATATTTGTAAGGGTAGACACTGAAATCCCAGCCTCCTTGAAGTCAGTGGGCTATTTGCCATGGACTTCTGAGATGCCAGTATTTCACCCACAGCCTTCAGGTACACACTTCCAAATTTCAGATGCAGATTTTTCCATGAGGTCCTTTCCTCTTTTGTTTACAGCGGTGTCTGAACGGAAGTATTTTATTCCCCTCTATACATGCAGTGTGTGGCCCAGTGCCTTATTTACTGCATACATATAAAGCCTACATCGAATAGAGGATTTAAAATCTCTCATGGCTCCTTTTCATCACAAAACCTTATCATTCGCCTGAGTTTTATATGCGCTGTGAATGCATCTTTATGCTGTTTTATGAAGCACTTGCATTACCAGTTCTGTTTTGTAGGCTGGCACCTGGAGCACAGAGAATTACATACAGATTTGTCTAATGCCTTCTAATTCTAAGCTCTGAACTACGCATAGGTGCAACTTACTCCGAATCTTCGGTGGTGTATGTTTAGAGCAGAATTTCTGGTCAGCTTAGTTTTTATCACAAGCTCCCACCGTTTCTGCAGATCAAGCTCCATTTATTCCAAGTTAGGCATCCAGAAAACAAAGTTTGCTCAGATTAGTGGTCACTTATAGAAAGTCTAATAAATTGCCAAATCTGCTGAAGGCCATAGAGCAGAAACCAGAAATCTGTCTGCATTTTCTGGACTCCCTATATAGCACGTGGGGGACAAATGAGGTGCCCCAGCGAGCTAAACTCGATGCTATCCTCCGCCCAGAGGGGGTTTAAGCCCCCTTGTCCCACCTCACTCAGGAGTGTCCTGACTACAACCTACAGACTGTTGGACCGGTGTACAAGAGAATGCAAAGACAATTAAAAAATGGAATCAAGATTCACTGTCCCCTGCATGGGTGAAACAGGCAATAAAGTCAATCGAGGCGCTGTCAGTCAAATGAGGACCAGGTTTTGCTTGGACAACACATATTTGCTGAAAGATCACATGATGCTCAAGCACAGCCATGCATTAGGAATTAAGGATTTACTGATTTAACACTTGATCATCCTTCTTAAAGTGCTCCTATGACATCATCTTTGAATGCTCTCATTGATTAACTCTCCGCATCTGTCTTGGTGAGGCACCTTATCCCTGGCTTTTGTGGATTGTTAAATTAAATGAATGGTTTAGTAACAAACTGATTGGGATTAATAAATTGACTAAAAAAACTGCATGGCGAATGCGGGCACAGAACAGGCTTGGAAGTGGTTTCCGGGAATCAGAAGTCGAGCCCTGCGGCTGCCGCAGGACGCTGATGACAACAGAGATAACAAACAGCTGATCTAGGAGCTTATCTGGACACAGGTGCACTCCATGCATATGCAAATGATATGTCAGGAGCAAGTGCATTGGTTGACTCAATCGACTGCAGTTGACCATAATGAGTTGAATCCCTTCTGAAAAGCAGCCATTGCGTATGTTAACCTAATGCAAACTATTATGGGCCTTGAACCTAAGCCAGAGGAAGAAAGAAGTGTTAAAAGAGAGATTTGTGGGAAGCTGGAGCCAGGAGTCTGAAACAGTGGTAGCAAATTGCTGAAAATGTGATGCATGATGATGTGCTTAAGCTATGAGAATTAACACAATCATTAATCCTAACGGATTTCCCTATGAGGCACCTGTTTGCTGTTAAGGACCAGGGATATCTGTAGCTTTGGCTTACAAGAGAAGAAAAAATCAACACCGAAACCCACTAAAAAAAGGGCTAATTAATGTTATGTCAGGGTCACTAATCCCTTGGGAGCAGATGAAACAAATGAGTCTCCACCGTGCAGAAAATAATACTCATTCACGAGGAACCTGATTCACAAAAACTGGATTTAAAGGCAGCTGCGACTAGTGTGGACATTCTGTCATGTAATTTCAATGAGTCACATTTTCCTGTATGGCAGAAAAATTTCCTGTTGCTGAAGATATTTCTTGAAATGTTACCCAGAAATAAAAACCACAGAGAAGCAATGATCCATAATGCTCAGTCCAAGGGCCAGAGTCAATGGCCTTGGCCCTTGGACTGCCACCTCTCCAGCTGCCCAGCTCCAAGGGCCTCCTGCTGGCTTCTCCTCTCACTAGGCCTTACACTTTTCTCCACCCTACTTAGCCACCAACACACAGAGCAGCGCGTGTGACAGGGGTGTGCTCATTGCACAAGTGCCTGGTTGCATGGTCATGGAGGGAAAGCGCAGTAAGAGCCAAGGGTTACTGCTGCTCCTCAAACAAAGGGATGTTCAAGCTCCCAAAGTAGGTCTCATCAAATTATAAGACCCCAAAAGAATAGCAGGGAGGAGTCTAGAGAGTGGAACAGGGCTCTGGGATGCAAGCAAATGTCAATGGACCTCATCAGAAGACAGGACCATCCCACCTTTGCATTTACATTCAGGTACTTAGGAATCTGCATTACCAGCAAGCAAACACCTGGGTGAGTATTTGCATCCATACTGAACTTGGTCTAAGGTAATACACTAAGTGATCAGTCAAGAATGATTAGTGCAGCCGAAAAGCCTGAGGGAACCCCCTGTAAAGGTTAGAGCATACTTGGGGTGACATTTTCAAATGCAAGCTCAACACTTACGCGCCCTTCGTAACGTGCATGAGCTGTGTCTTCCTGCAACAGAAGGAAGAGCACACAAAAACCAGGTAATTATAGCCTAATGGCCTATTATATACTATATTAATTTCCAAATCTGTTTCTGCAGACAACCCTTCTGCGACACCAGTGCGGGTTTTCCTGGGCACCATTAATTCATGGTTATGTCATAACTGTCACTGCAAATCCTGAAGTTGCCCCTCAGCCCTTTATCCAGGTAAAATTCGCTTTTAAGCCAAGGGAACGTATTGCACCAAAAACTATGAAATAAAGCAGCTGTCACATCTTTTCTGCTGGAGACCCCGCTGCTGAGCTTTGGACCTGCCATACAGGGCTCACAACCCTACACAGGGCATCCGCTACGTTGACAGCTTAGTTTGGACATGACTGAAACCGCTGATCACACCAGTGACCGGCTGCTCCACTGCCTCTCTATACTATCCCTGCTCCAACATAAAAAGTGGGAATATTTTATTGCCTGCCCTGCAAAAGACACAGATATTTTCTTTTCTTAACCCAATGAGGACCTTTTGCCAATTCTTATTGACTGCTGTGAAGCCATCAGTCGGTGAGTGAGTAAATGAAACCACATTCTAAAATGTATTTTTGGTCATTTAATTGGACAAGCAAGTAACAGTTGAGTTTTCATCACTGTGTACCAGGGAATGAAAATAGCTAGCAAAAAAAAATATAGGTCTGGTTTCACGGCAGAAGATGAGAAGAGGCATTCAAAGAGACTTACTGGGTTTGTAAAAATAACAAAGGGAAAACCAGTAAACTTCTACCCCAGTTGTACTCTTCTTTTGAACCAGAGGGCAACTCAGCTCCCAAGCAATTTGACTCTTAATACATACTCTTCTTTTGAACCAGAGGGCAACTCAGCTCGAGACCCAAGCAATTTGACTCTTAATACGCACATCAAAACATTTTCATTATGCAAATCAGTAACCTCACAAGGCAGGGTGGAAGCTGGGATCAAGGACTCTTACCTCCAGTGCTTGTTGGAGGCTGAGTAAAGAAGAGGAGGTATTTTATGCTTTGTTATTCCACTCCAGCTTCCACCAAGTAATTTACAAGAATTTTACTCAGAGACACAAAACAGAAGAAAAACTAAGACTGAAACATTAGGAAGCCTACATCATTTAACATTAATTCCTCACGTATATTCTGAATTTTCACACCCTTACCTGGAGTAGCACTGGAGACCGTTGGCCACTGTTGATCAGGCCCTCCTGGTCCTCCGCGTAGGACTCCTGCCTCCTCCATGTGCACGGCACTGAAGAAGCATATATCACAGTTAGGTTACACAGTTCCCTCTGCCCTGGGCTTTAGAACATTTCCCTTTCTTGCTGCTCTTCCAAGGTCATAACTGTTTGTAGCTGCACAACTACTGCTGCAGTACTGCATGATGCTAACAAATTCTGCTGGGGTGTTGGAGAACTGGCTGGTTTGATTTGCAAAAGCTCTCTTATCTTTGGTTATTTACTAAAACACAGTTGTGTCCTAAATTATAAACCAAACCTACCTGCAGGACACTTCCTTCCTTGACTAGAAGTCGCTAACAAGGAAGTTACCTTCTTTGCTGCTATGATGTATTGGCATGTCCTGGTTTTGGCTGGGATAGGGTTAATTTTCTCCCTAGTAGCTGGCGTAGTGTTGTGTTTTGGATTTAGTACTAGAAGAATGTTGATAACACCCTGATGTTTTAGGTGTTGCTGGGTAGTGCTTAGTCTAGTCAAGGGCTTCTCAGCTCTCAGCTCTGCCAGGGGCACGGGAAGCTGGGAAGGGACACAGCCAGGACAGCTGACCCCAACTGGCCCAAGGGCTATTCCAGACCATACAACATCCTGCTCAGTATATAAGCTGGGGGAAGAAGAAGGAAGGGGGGGGACATTCAGAGTGATGGCGTTTGTCTACCCTTTTCTCACATGCAGAAACTAACAGCAAATTTTCCAGTGTCACATCGTGAGCACTTGGCCTAGAAAGTGCCAATTTTCAAATGGAAGGAAAAGAAAAAAAAATGCTACTTTTAATGTATTTGTGTGCAGTTCCTTAGAAAAACAGGATATGGTGACTGTGTCCCTGCTCTCTGTTCACCTCAGCTCCCTTCCACACTCCCAGTTGAACTTAATGGGCAGTTTCATCAAATGGGACAGATGTTAAGGGTCCCTACGAATACCAAATTTCTACAAGTTTTATTAAAAATTAGCATTTTATGAAAATCATCAGCTGGGCAGGTCACTCAGGCTCAGAACCTGAGATTTCAGGTAAGGACAGGGGCTGCTGATGGGAGGGAGAGAGAGAGGAACACATACGATTTCCCCGAAAGGCTTCATTAGCTCCCCTGCTTGTGGGCTGAATTGCTTTAAACTTTTCATTAATTGCTCAGTAACTTCAGGCAAGATCTTGAACTTTATAGAAACAAACATGGATCCCCAGGATCATGCTGGGGATACAAAGAGCACACCTGACTCTGAGGATCGGTAGGCAAGATGCTCAGGTCAGCAGGAGAATTCCTGCTTCAGGATCCTGCTCCCCAGACTGTTTATTTGGTTTGAAGTCAGGAGTCAGCGATTTAAAACTAAAATAAAATTTAACAGCAGGAACCTAGGAGAAAGAAACCAGTTTGCCTACCAGGCCACAGAATCAAGCTTGCTCTTTCTTCCTTTCCTGTTGGTCCCCGAGGCTTAGGTTCCTTTTTACACAGCAGCCCAAATTCATCTGGAGGGGCACACAGTGCCCTCGCCCATGTGAAGCACAGTCTTGGGGACTGACAGCCTGAATCTGAATTTTGGACTTCAGCCTTATGAAGACTCTTCAGCCCCACGGATAACGGATCAAAGGCGATGACTACAGTCCCATCGCACCAACAATTTTGGGGAAAGCATACTGTCCTGCACTTTGTAGTGCCACTAGGAACTACTGCGGCCTTATAACTGCATCTAACCCTGTAAGGTAGCCTTATTAATCATGTCAGATAATACCTGAATATATAACCAGCTGTCTAATCTGCTCAGGACAGCAGAGCAAAGATCTTATTTTATTTAGGCTCTAGAAACCCAGCTTTATTATAATTCTTTTTTTTTCCGGGTGTACTGAGTAGCCAGTGATAGCAGAGACTACTTGCGATGTCAGGCAGAGGACTTTCAAAGACGTCTAAAGGGATTTGGATACAGCCTCCTTTTTCCTTCTTTGAAAATCCATCTCATATGTTCAAAATATCCTTTAAACTGCGTTAATCATCTTGACTGCACCACGCAGTTAATAAACCAACCGCAGAAGCAGCGTAGTCATGGTAAGGAGAGACAAGAAGATGGCAAAAGGCATCAGTGCTGCAGTCGATTGAAACGTATCAGCACAGATGATTACGGGGAGCCTTAAAGTAAACAAGAAGTGCATAATCACAGGTAAATAATTCAATAATTGCAGTGATTATGCTTTGACAGTCAATGTATAAAAAGGCAGGAGGCGAACACACAAAGAAGCGCAGATCTGTGGTATTATAACAACAGCATAAGGTGCAGTCAGATTGAATCGGTAACGCTTGGAGATTGGAAGTGACAGCAGCGGAACTCGGGCGCTTTCCATCTCAGTGTACAGGTATCGTCAATCTAGGGCATCAGAGGAGCCAGACAGCTTTGTCCTTTCCAGGGAGGACAAAGGCAGGATTCCCAGGATTCCCGTCGCGGGGGACCACCATACATACCTTTGCATTCCCGCCCTGAGGGATGCAGAGTAGCGCCAGTCAGGATTGGGGTGTTTTGGCTGTAGAAACAAAAGCCCAGGATAATGTCGTTAATGTATGTTAAACATGCCAAAAAGTATACACATCTGGCTAACTTTGGCTGAAGAGCCTATATGGAGCTACTGAATTTTTGTGAACGTTCAGCTCTGCCAAATCCTTCTACAAATCTAAAGAAACTTTCAAAGGGACACACAGAGATCGTCTCTGTAACAAAGAAACTTGTCTGCACCCAAGGCCTTTGGCCAGAGACGATCTCTGTGGAACAACATTGAATGCTGGGAACGGGTGGACAGTTATTTTGTACATTCATCAACATTCTGGGCACAGGGGGGAAAAAATAAATCATAAATCCACAATAGACATTGTTTGTTTACCTGATAAGCGGAGGGAACTTGAGCTCCTGCATGGAATAGCGCCTGCCTGAGGACGGATAAAATAGAGCCCCCTGCGAAGGGGGCGTGCGGGGTAGTCTGTTCGCTGTGGGGTTTCTGCAGGCTTTTACTACGCTGCAGAGGACTGCATGGGAGTGGATCAGATTTGCAGACTGCAGCAAGTCTTTCAGCAAAGGCGGACATGTCCTTTCGTAACATCAAGAGCTACTACATTCTCCATATTCATGAGAGGGCGTAAGAGATGGAAGGGGAAAATAGCCAGCAATACCCTTTGACCAACACACCTCAGCAGATGCTGATCTGCTGCAGAATGGTTTGCTGAATAAGGAGGTAAATAAGAAATCATCTGTTGATCAAAAATTGCTCCATAAAATCTCTTTTGCATTGTCAGGGGACCAACACAACAATTTTCAATGAATACAAGCTCAGGTCCTTTAAAATTAAGCCCTAAGCACATAACAAAGTTATTTCTCAAGATTCTCAGGACATTTTTCGGTAGGTGATAGCACAGCTAGTGCTTAACTTCAGGCACTTGAATTCAAAGAGAGAACTTATGTCCAGAAACATAATGGACTACGCTCATTCCTGGTGTGTCTTGTACGGTGCCAAACACACAAATAATACGTGACAGTAATGGTTTAATTCTCTTCGAGCTATTGGAGGCAGATCAGGAATGAATTTTGTCCCATTACTTGAAAAAGAAAGTGTTGAATGCTCTGAATTATTTAAAGCCAACTCTGTCTTTCCTCTTGAGGTTTGGGGTATGCTTTTCCCTGGATCAATAGGTTTTATTCAAATAAAAATGGAGCAATTACAACGTACACTATCAGTCTATCACCGTCTTTCCCGGGTCCAGCATCACTCAAGAGTGAGATGCTCTTGGATGATGTGCATCCGAGTATTCTTTATGGTCTGAGTTACACAAAAGGGAGAAGGTTGCTACTTGCAACCACACATTAAACATCTGTGCTAGCAATTTCCTTCCCATTTAGCCCCCAGTTCTCTGGCACGCTCAGGTTCTGCTGAGTTTAGCAGAAAGGGGCTTGACAAGGAGCCCATTACGCATGGTTCCAGTATTTTCTGTTTCATTCTATTTTGGCTACGGTCCCAGGGATGTCAAAGCAACTCTAAGGTCAACCATGTAGTAACAGTCAAGGAAAGAGAATTGAAAATAACACACCCTGATCAGCCCCTCTCCTGAGTCTGCCTTTCTGTATGTATGAAGGGTGCTGGCACCAGAAGATTTGGCTTTTCCTCTGCTAGGGATTTTCTTATAGCAGGGGAATTGCCAGACTGAGGGTGGGGGGGAAGCCCCTTTGCTCCTTTTTGCAATGGGAGAGATGCGGGTTACTAATTTGTACAGGCTTATAGGCAGTGCGAGGAGGAGGAATCTTACCACAGTCCCAAGCAAAACACAGATGAAGTGAGGTTACATCAAAGAGCGGTACTTTCCAGCTCTCGGCTAGAAGACAAAAACCTCTGTTCTGTTGCAGTGGTTCAGACACCGGATCAGAAATGGGTGAGGATGGCAGGGGAAACTCAATTCATCATTTGTTCACTCCACATGCATGGACTGATATTCCCCACGTCAATATAACAGAAACAGCGGCAATTAGGAGACTGTAGTATTTTCCAAGGTTACTATCCAGAGGCTGGGGCACCTTGTGGCTACTCCCAAGCAGTTCTCTATTTGCTACTCCTCTTCAGCTGTAGTGCTGCTCCCAGAGGAGCAGAAAAGGGAAGGAGGGGACAGGATTGAGAAAATACACCCTGGAGATGGACAGATCCATTGCCATGGTTGACTTTCAGACACTTTCAGGGGCTGGGGTTTTTTTCGGTTTTAACTGAGAAAATATCAATGCCTGGGACTTCGCTACTTTTTGAAGACTTCACAGGAAGAACAGGAGGAGCAGGAGGTTGGGCAGCCGTCTGCCTTTTAACTGAGAAAATATCAATGCCTGGGACTTCACTACTTTTTGAAGACTTCACAGGAGGAGCAGGAGGTTGGGCAGCCGTCTGCGTTTTCTAACCCCATTAGCACCCAGTTTTACCCCTTGTGCGCTGCTTGACTGGGAACTTTCAGACCTCAGCAAAAGATGCAAGTTTGTCCCACACTTGTGTTATCACAGACCAGTGATCTGCAGCTGGCAAAATTGGTGAAATTCCAAATTTGTCAGCGTAACTGGCTCCTCCTTTTGTTCTGCTACAGACTGCAGTTCTTTAAGCTCCTCTGCTCATAAGAGAAAAGCTGTTTCAATATGTCTTTAAATGAGATTGGGCAATTAGGAGCAAGAAAAGCAAAAATGCTTGACCAGTAATAGAAGTGACAGTGCAGTAGAAGAAGTAAACCTGTTCAGTAATATCTTTCCCGAGTTCAGGTGCAGCAGTGCTGCTTCTCACAGATCCATCAGGCATTCACAGTCTGCGTGCTTGGGCTGGCTATGAACAGTCCACCTTTACCAGACCACCCACTGAAACCTGCTACATCAACATGTGCTGTCACAGCACACAGTCACCGTGTCACGACATGGCCCATGTAGGGAAGTGACCGTGCCCCTGTGCTGGGTACCGGGGAGCCCGCCCCTTGAATGCTGGGGTCAGGGTTGGGTCCCTCCCTCCCAGAAGGACACGGAGGGGCTGGAGCATGTCCAGAGAAGGGCAGCGGAGCTGGGGAGGGGTCTGGAGCCCCAGGCTGCTGGGGAGCTGGGGGGGTTCAGCCTGGAGCAGAGGAGGCTGAGGGGAGCCCTCATCGCTCCCTACAACTGCCTGAGAGGAGGGGGGAGCCGGGGGGGTCGGGCTCTGCTCCCAGGGAACGGGCAATGGGACGAGGGGAAACAGCCTCAAGTTGTGCCAGGGCAGGGTGAGGTTGGCCATGGGGAACAATTCCTTCCCCTTGGGGCTGTCAGGCACTGGAAGGGGTTGCCCAGGGAAGGGGTCGAGTCCCCACCCCTGGGGGGATTTAACAGCCGGGCAGAAGCGGTGCTGAGGGCCAGGGTTTGGGGGTGGGATGGCAGGGTTAGGGGAACAGTTGGACTTGATGATCTTAAAGGCCTTTTCCAACCTAAACAATTCTATGTCAAAGTAGAGCAGAGTCTTCAGCACAGTCCCAGGGCACAGGATTCTGCACAACGGGACAGTCGATGGGCTCCTCTGCAAAGCCCTGTCCCAGGCTTTGCTGTGAGACATGCAGCTGTGCTATAAATCAACACCACCAGGACAAGGTACAGCTGGCCAGGAAGCATGAGCATGGAGAGGAAGCACGAAGAGGAATACAGACTCTGAAGTGCTCCAGAGGTTTCCCAGTTTTATAGCCCCCTACTCTCGCTACGTCACACAATGCCGATGAAGATAATATTGTTCCTATTACCTTCCCAGCTCCCAACTCATGACAAGACCCTGCTTATCACATGCCAGCCCATTTACTAACTTTAAGGTAATCTTAGCCTGCCATTTCCCTCAGAGATTTTTGGAGGCCACGCATTAAGTCCAGCGCTCCCGTCATTATCACTCATCAGTGGAGGTGAAGGAAACCACATGATCCAGCACAGAAATAATCAACCATGCCCTGTGTCTCCCATCACCTGCTTCTTCTGATTCTGTAACAGCACACATCACCACAGTTGTGAGATAAGTCAAAATCTGCCCCAGTGCCTATAGAACTGGTTATCACTGCTCTAGGGGAACACTGCATGCCAATGGTTTGCTCCTGCTGGTTCTTCCAGGCACCAGGGTTACGTTCTGGCAACCAGATAACCACAAGCCTTAATGGGACCGGGCATAACCAACAAACCCTACCCAAAAGTCTGGTAAACAAAGTGAATCTAAAATATAAAATGGAGCCGCCTTAGTAGCAAAAAAAGCTCACGCAGAATTTCAGCCGGTTGTTTTTACATTGCACAGCATGGGTTAATTTAAGAACCATCTCACTGGTTCACGAAGAATAAGTTTAGTTGGAAATACATTGGTACAAACATTTTGCTCAGTTCTCCTTTTTAGCTAATACTTCAACACAGTAAAGGTTTGTCCCTGGGATGGAAGGAATTTCTAAAATTGTTTAGTGTTGTCTTGATCCTCTATTCATGCGAATCAACACAAAGGCTACCGTTCACTACGGCGGGTGTTAAAGTAAGGCCTGCTTCAGGTAGAGAAGGGTGAATCAAACATTTACAAACAGTTACCAGGGGATGAGACTGCTAAAACCATCCCACTCTGTTCCTATTCCCACACACATGCGTGACAGAACAACGGAAGGTATATTTATCAAATACATCCTCTTTGAAGAAATAATAAAAGGCCTTTTAGAAGCCCTGACCACGTACAGCTCTGCTTATTTTCCAGTGAGCCAATGCTGACAGGTGGGGGGAAACAGAGGCTTCTATTCCTGATTTCCTTCTGCAAATGTTTACAATTAATTTGACGTGGAGAACAAACTATTTATAGACAGAACACGTGTTTATCACACAAGCAATTGGAATGGAAACTGGAAAAGCCCAGAGATTTTCTTTCCGGCAATGTACATTTGCATTCCAAACTCGGAAAACGAAGGTGAAGGGACCAGACAAGTGCATCTGTAAAGTCTGTGGCATGAACTGCAAGAGCAGGAAAACCCCTCTGCTTAGCACTGGATACAAACTTCTGCTGGCACAGCAGCGAGCCTGAAACCGGGGCCGACTGCCCTGAAGCACACAGCACCGGCCCCGCTTAGCAGAACGGGTTCAGATGCTGCCACGGAACAAAAGAACAAACGTTTCTAGTTAACCTTTACAATGTCGGCGGGGAACTTCCTAAGGGCTTAAGTTCTTGAACTGAGATTGTAAGATATTCTAGCATTAATACCTTTAAAGCCTCTGTGAGAAATCTCGTGGAAGGACTGCTCCAGGCAATGCCATGGCTTTACTAGGTTTAGACACTTCAGAACACGCTTGCGTTTTAAAGCAGTATCAAGATGTGTTCAATTCAAGCGTTGCTTGTTTTTCCCCCATGTGCTTAGCAAGCTGGTTTTGAAGTGTAAAATACAGAGGAGCCCACAGCCATAAAGCTCCAAGGAACCCCTGGGCCCTGCCACCACTAATGGGCAGCTCTCGTCTTTTCTGAAAAGCCAGCACAGAGCACCATGCAAATTCATGTATGAACTTCACATGAAACACGGTATTTTGTCAGCCACGTG